TCCCCCCACCCCGGGGGGCTTCTTGTTCCTGAATCGAGGCAGGCGCTAAGCTGGATCTTGCCTCCAGAATGAGGCAAGCAGCGAAACAATGAGCATTGTGTTGCCTTCGATCGAGTAGATTATGTACTTGTACTCAATGCTCAGGGGATCGATCTGTTTCCGATCCGGTCATATCCCCGCAGCCCCGTGACTCCTAGCCCACGCCCCCCGGAAGGGTAGAAGAGAAGAGCCACGCAAGCATCGAGCAGATCATCCCGATGGAGTGGTGATGGTGGTGTGGAGTGGGGGCAAGGGGAAAGGGGAAAGGGAATCTGACATCTCTTCTAGATCTCCTCCCGTCCGAGAGTCATCCCGGTTCCTGGGACTATGATTTTTTTTTCCATCGAATAATTTCCGTTTATTTGATTTTTTTCCTTTTCAGCCCCCAGGAAGGATCTTAGGGCGATCACTAGTACCTACGGAGTAGGGTCTCGGAGGTACCTGGTTTGGGAATCGTGGGTGGAGTCACCTCGTGGATCGCGGGTTGGGCGTGAATCTGCCTGACTGATGTGATAAAGTACGGTGCCTTGGTTTGACTGGGGAGCTCGGTTCGATTGGGGTATGCTGGATTTAGGGTCTGGTGGATTGGTTTTGTGTTTTCTGTAGGGGCAGGGGATCAGGCTGAACTTTTTGAGCTGTGCTTTGGGTTAAATTGTCCGTGATTATTTTGTAGGACAATCACACGAAAAGGTAAACTTGGGCCTGGGCACTACATATCACTCAGTACGGATGGATTGGTTCACTCACAGTCCTCAGTCAGAGTCAATCGGACTACATCCTCATCCAAATCGGTGATCAAGCTGCACTTACATATACATCAATGAGCTTGAGCGGCAGTGCGACAATCACGAGGGCTAAGGCCATTCCATTTCATCTGCATATGCTCTGGGGCAGAAATAGGACCTTCATCCAGTGCTGCTGTACCATGGTCACCTACAGCCTCATGCGATATCAAATCTCAGGTCTACCCTCACTTCCCCAAGGGGTATTCGTGGACGACAGGGTGTACTGAGGTCGACTGCTTCCCAAGATCAAGAATGAGTAGGTATAGTCTGCAAGACCATCAAAGCAGCACTGTGCTTCGATGATCTGAGCGCCCAGCTAAGGTCGAGATGTGGAACGACATTCACGTAGTGGTTAGAACTAGAACCCTTCCAGCAAAGTCCACCAGATGACAGACAACGAGCTGTGAAAGAATCCCTCATACTAACTACTGTATGAGACATCACTATTGTTGATGCAATGGATGCCTACGTCAATATAGTAACCTACACACGCATGCAGTATTTGATAAACGGGATGATGCAGGTGAGCTTGCGTTGGCCGGCAACTTTTCATTCCCATGTACTGAGACTTACTTGCCGCGAGATGCACCGAAGAAGTCAGTGCTCAGCTTCGAACCTCAAGTCTTGGGATGACGCTTGAACGGAGGTGTTTCGAACTCGACTGATGACGTCTCGGGGAGTGGGTGAGAGACTGACGTCTGAGAAAGTGGTTTATAGCCAGGAGACTAAGGCTCAGGGACCTGGAAGGAAGATCATACATACTGTGTACGTAGCGGACATGGAATGATATGTGGAGAAGACTAAATCCGTGGGCCACGTGACCCCGTCATTTCTTTGTGACAGCGGATCTTATCACTTCAAGCCGAGCGATTCTCCTTCCATTCTCAGCGCTTGCCCAGACGCTAGGATGCAGCGGATCCCTCGGCTTCATGGCTTGTCTTTTCCAATCATACCATGCTCAGTGGCTTGATCCCTCCTCAAATCATCATGTCTCTGCCTGCATGTCGTATTTATTTATTCCTGGTTCACCGACAGCCTGGCTTGGCGCCAGCTGCCTGAGAGGACATTTCGTTTATGCTCACCTGCATTGACCTGGTGGTTGTTGCTGGTCCACTATCGTTGCCATAGAATCAGTCGAATGGCGCCCACCGCGATGGGAGAAAGTTCTTCTCGTTTAAACAAGTCCGGCAGGGTAAGGCTGAAACAGTGGGCCCCGAAAGTCAAATCGGGTTGTATAACGTGCAGGTATGCCCTCGTGGGAAGATCGAGTGGCTCCGACTAAGTGCCCACTGACCTGCTAAGGATACGACGCATCAAGTGTGACGAGACGAAACCGAGGTGAGAGAACGATATATCCGGTTCGATCAAGTGAGTCTCGCGGTTCCAGCCCGGTCTGACGCCCACAAACATGGTAGCTGCACGAGATGCACATCGACCGGAAGAAACTGCGATGGCTACGGCGATCTTGCTCTCAAGCAGATGATCAAGTCACCACACGTGGTGCAGATGCCCTCGGCCTGGGAGCAGGTCTCCGGCAACACGATCGAGATCGAGAACTTTGCTTTCTTCCGCTCCGTCACCACCACCGATCTAGCGGGCTTCTTCGATATTGGCTTCTGGACCGGCAAATTGCCCCAGCTAGCGCACCAGTATCCAACCCTCTGGCATGCCATGACCGCGCTGGCATGTGTACACCACGACTTTGTGACTGATCGAACCCCGAGCACCGTCGCACGGGTCGGCGACACTCCGAACATGGGTTTCGCCTTGGTGCAATTCAACAAGTCCATCCAATCACTCCGAGAGCTGCTTTCGAGGCCCAGTGTGACGCGTCTGGACAAAGTAGTGGCGCTCAGCACCTGTCTCTTGTTCACCTGCATGGCGAGTCTACAGGGCCGTCAATGGCAGGCCTTTGTGCATATCAACTCGGGTCTCAAGATGTTCCATCACTGGGACTTGGGAGTCAGGAATAGAGAAAGACTAGACCATGATCGGGAGATCGATCTGTTACTGGTGGCCTTTACGCAACTCGATACCCAAGCCCGCCCATACCTCCCCAACCAAAGGAACAATTTCCAGTGGACAGACAGCCAAATCGTCCTGTCATCCACCAAGGAGCCATTCCGATCCCTGCTGGACGCATATCTCTCCCTAGAAGTTCACTTCAACAGTCTGATGCGACTCATGATGAGCAAGGAATTCGCCAACCCCGCTCGCGTTGCTGAGAACCTCGTCAAGAAGCAGAAATGCGCCGACAACTTCGAACAGTGGGACGTCAGGCTGAGCGGCTTTGTATCCACCGCGGCTCCTTCCGAGACAGATGACCGGGCCCTCGACCTGCTCTACGTCCGTCGCATCTTCGCACACGTGTTCCTGTCCCTCGATTTCACCAAAGGCGAGCTGTGCCATGACGACTTCTTCGAAGATTACAAGCGCATGCTCAATCTGGCCACGAAGCTGTTGGATGACCTGAACTCGATCCCTCAAGCGAGCAAAAACACCTCGCATCCCAACTTCTGTCTCTCAACCACCGTGGCCGAGCCACTGTTTCTCATTGCGACTCGCTGCCGGGAACCCACAGTCCGTCGCAATGCACTACGCTTACTTCAGCGATACCCGCGCCGCGAGGGGATCTGCGAGGGGATGGTCGCCGCGAAGATCGCCGAGACGATGATTGACATCGAGGAGAAGGGGTGTCATGGAGGACAAGCGGACTCGTGTACAACAGGACAGTGGGTGTGTGGGGTTCACCGCGTGGCGATCGTGAACTTTGTCCTGGTTGCGGAAAGGCAGATCAAGATTCAGATCCAGACCGTCGAGGATTTGATGCTGGGGAGGGCCGAGAGGGTCCTGGTCACCAGTTACTGGTAATTTCCGCGAGAAGTTACTGAAGAAAGAGATGGGGATAGAATTATTATAACCGAAACACTTGCTTGCTGTACATAGATGGGATAGGTGAATTGCACTGTACTTCCTCTTCTAGCTATCCAGCTCGAGCACTCAGAATAGTCAGTATAGTATAGTAGGGTGATTACCATCCCTTCATTGAAATCACTTAGTATCCTAGTCTTGCTTGCCTGATAGAGTAGATTGATGAACCTCAACCCCGAGGGGAAATCAGGAGCTATACATTCGCCGCATCTGGGAACCCGGTTCCGATCTGATTGAATACGCGTACCCAAAAATTCCTCTGATCTACTTGGGGCGTCGAATGAGCCAGCCTGCAAAGCCGTAACTCCACAAGAGCGACATGGAGCTGAACGTTGTCGTTAGCTTCAGCTAATCGAATCCCGTTGTGCCCCTCCAAGTACTACCTAGTCACACTACGCATGCTCGGAGTCAAGTTACCTCTCTCTTCCCTCGATGAGTAACTGGTATTGCTATTGGTTTGGTTATCCTAGGGCGCTGGTCGAATTGCTTCCGCGCAGACAAGGTAATTAAGGTAGTTAGTCTTCAGCCCACGGGCGGTTTTTGTTCTCTGGGTTGGTTGATATTGACCATCTATGCCAGATTCTAGGAGCAGATACCCGCAGACCATGATTTTGATGCAGTAAGACTTCGTATGAAAAACATGTTTGCTAATAGTAACGTATGTAATTAGTCATTCCTATTTACACTCGCCCCTTCCTGCTCCAAATCCGGGGGGGGGAGGCACGAGGAATAGAGCCCAACCCCAAAAGTATTCATGCACTGCATTGCTAGATCAAAGATCGTAAAGGAAAGGGCGCTGGCGGAAAGCGAAGCGGAGGATTAGTCCATGCAGACGAAAGAGCTCGAGGGGTGAGGGGGGTCGTCATCGCTATCAAAATCATATCAAAGCGAAGCGGTGGAGTTTGGAGGGAGTCGTTCGTTAGTTCGGTTGAGGTTGGCGAAGTCGAGATGCAGGGCAGATAGCAGCCGCGATCGCAGTCGCAGTCGCAGTCGTAGCGGTAGCAGGAGATTACAAGAATGAAGGTCAAGTTCCATGTCGAATCGCAAAGGGTAATATTTCAAGGGGAAAAATAACAGCGCAGAGACGGGAAAGGGAATCACGAATTGTCGTATCACACACACGCACGCGCGCGCACACACACACGGGAACAAGATACTCATGAAATTGAGATCAAAGACACACCACCCTCTCGACTTCCAAAGTCATGGGTACACACCACTTATCATCCGACCTAGATGGAATCTTTACCACCCCGGCAAGTTAGCACCACCCGGATCAAAACGGTCGACGAAGCAGAACCAAAAGGGGTGGGCGAACATACTCAACGTCATACTCAAACTAACGTCCGTATTCTCCACCATTTCCGTGAACTCCTCAAAGCTGATCTTCCCATCGCCATCCTTATCGGCCTCCATGATCGTCTTGTCGACGATCTGTTGCAGCTGCACATCCTTCAGGTTGTTGCCGACCATCATCTTCAGGACGATGAAGAGCTCGCCGTTGGAGATGTATCCGTCGCGGTCGATGTCGTACACCTTGAATGCAAACCGAAGCTTCTCCTCCTTGTTGCCCTTGGAGCTGAAGGCCGACAGCCCGGAAACGAATTCTTGGAAGTCGACGTCGCCGCCACCGTCCTCGTCGAAGATGGCGATCATTCTTTTTTTCGGTGGAAGTTAGAGTTTGTGATGGACCTCTGGGGTGGGTAGTGAGATGATAGTGGGGTAAGGCGGCAGAGGTGAAGCGGGTGTGTGAATTGCATCAGGCATGGTAGGTCAAAGGAAAAGGAGGGAGAGGACAAAGTACCTCGTGGCGAGTGGGTTGGATGATACTTGAGGCAAAGAAAGAAATTCATCGCGATCAATAGTACCGGAACTATCCTGTTGAATCACACAGAATTGTGTCAGAATGGAATCACATGTAAGACGCTGCACGATCAAGACAAACCTTATCCAGCTTCATGAAGCGCTTGCGGAGACGGTCAACTTCATCGCGATCGACTACACTTCATTAGTTCACATGATAACCGTTCTCTCGAAAAGCTCGACCCACAATTGGAGGCGGAAACTATGTTGTCGAGAAGCTGAGAGGTGCCGACCGAGCCCCTGCGGCGGCGCGCATCGTACAGGGCGGCATTGTTGGGCTCACTGGAATGGTCCATGGTGTGGGCTTTTGTTTTGAGCGGAATGTAAAGGGGAAAGGGTGTAAATGGTCAATGAGAAATTCTTGTCTATTCAACGCGATTCAACCAGGAACCACGACCGGTGACAGAAACAAACGAGGCAATCAGAAAGCTGCACAAGAACTAGATTACTCCAACAAGTACGGAGTAGATGAATGCCGAATGCGGGAGGGAAAGAGAGGGACGGAGAACAGAGGAGACACCCCCCGGCAGGCGACACAGACCAAAGCGGCACTTTGATATCGACCAGCCCCGCACTAACCCGAAACAGACAGGCAAGCGAACCCCTGAGGCCGTGCACCGGTCCAAAACAGGCCACTGCCGGGTGACATTGCAACGTCAACTCATCCGCCAGTGCAAAGACTACGAGATTTCCATCGTCCATATCCCCCCCTTAACCATCCACTGCCATCACAAAAATACGTCTACGTGCTTTCGCATGATCAGACCTATCTACTGATACCAATTTTGGGTCCCCCATCCCATGGTCAGCGGCCGATCTCGCGCCCCAAAGTTCGTATGACTAGGTACGGGGGTATGGGGAGGACGCGCCCGAAAAAGCTCACCTCCAAGGCCTCCATCCCCATAGTCCGCGAACATGAGATAGATCTTATCGAGGATGAGATCCAAAATGCCCTTCAACAGATTGAGACCGGTGTCGAGAAGGCGGAGGAGTCGGTGAGTCGTGTTCTCCCCCATCTACCGCTAGCATCCCTGCATATATCACGTGACATCATCGCGAACCTCACCCGTCGTGAAAATTTTGCACCCGCCAGTCCAGGCCACAACCACAGCCCGTTGACGCCTACGTTCTACAGGAATTCCATCTGCAGGTCGCTATCAGTGCCGCGGCCCAGGGCAAAGTTAAAGATGCCCATATTCCGACCCCGGAGACCGTCCTCAGTAACCTCCGATATGACGAGCTCTACCCTCCAGTCTTCTCGCAGCCAGCGACATACATCCGCTTCTCCTCCACCGTCGAGGACTGCTGCGGACCTCCATATTGCATGAACGAGGACGATGATGTGTTCCTTAAGAACTTCAACCAAAAGCGCGATGCCGCCAACCAATGCACAGAAGACAACTTCGAGGAAGTCATGAGCTTCTTCGAATTGACGTCGAGGAAAGAGCAGCCGTATGCTTGTGTAGATAACTCTCCGGTCATGAGTTTCGAGGAATTCCAGGAGGCGATGGATCCAGCCGTAGACGACAGCGTAAAGCGTTTCGCCAAGGACATATACGACTACTGGAAGTCGCGACGCATCAGCGGTGGGAATGAGCCTCTGCTCCCGACACCAAAGGTGAGTCCCTGGCGCAAGAAGCGGCAAAGGTTATCCGATCCGCTAACAGTTCACAGGCTGAAGCTGGTCGGGAAGCCGATGATACCGACCCGTACGTCTGCTTCCGAAGGCGCGAGGTGCGGCAGACCCGCAAGACTCGTGGCAGAGATGCGCAAAGTGCGGACAAACTGCGACGGCTCAGAAAGGAACTGGAAGATGCTCGGCAGTTGGTTGCACTTGTACGTCAGCGTGAGTTGGCGCGCAAGGAGATGCTCGCCGTCGAACGGCAGGTCTTCCTGCAGAGATCCGAGGTCAAGGATATGAAGAGGAAACTCAATATCAAGGACGACGACGAGGATCTTATCAACCAGAGAGTAAGGATGATCATGACCTGCTTCCAAGCCATAGATACTGACCATGCCACCAGCCCAAGAAGAAGCCGGTAGAGGCACCTGCTGTGCAGCGCCCAGCACCTCCCCAGCTGCGCATGCCCCCCAAGGCGGCCACGCAGCCAGCAGAAGACCTGCAGCTACTGGACGATGTCCAAGCGGAGAAAGAAAACGAGATCATCCGCGACATCAAGCAGAACATCACGAAGCACATCAAGTGGAACGAGGGTTATGTGGATTTCACACGAGCACCGCTCTCCCCGTCACCTGATCGGACGTTCGATGCTGCATTCCGCCCTGCCATCACCACCCAGTTACCGACGCCACCATCGTCGGAGTCATCCGACAACATGCCGGATTCAGCCATAGATACCCGCAGTGCCATTGCCCTCCCGAATAAATTAGCCCCCCATGCCATGGAACTGAGCGAGGACACGAGCAAGATGCCCTCATTCCGGAGACGTATAGGACGCGGGGGTCGTTTGTTCATCGATCGCCGAAACCTTGCGGCTCGTTGTAGAGTTGAAATGGATCCGTGGAAGGCTGATCGATTCAAGTACGATCAGGAAGATTCAGATGAGGAGCTCGATTATGAGAGGGACCAATTCGATATCCAGATCATGCAACATCGAGCCATCATGGCGGCAAAAGCTCGCGATCAAGCAGCAGCGGCAGCGGTTCAAGCTCATGCGCAGGCGCAGGCAGCTCAAGCCCAGGCCCAGGCCCAAGCTCAACGAAAGTTGCAGGCCGAACAAACCACGGCCAGCAGCAATTCGCCAAGCGGGGGGCAAGCAGGGGGATCTAATCCCGGGCCTGGTGCCGCGGTCTCCACGTCTTGAGATATGAGCTGGGTCTCTTCTCTCGTTTTCTCCTCTCCCACATCTTGATCTTCCACCCCGTATCCTTTTAATCTTTTTCAACCCCATGTTCAGCATCTGGCAGGCGTCATCTGTCATTTCCCCTTTTACCTTACCTGTACTTTTACTCACGCCATACCCTCATCACCCTTTTATTTTTCCTGAAAAGCGGGGAAGCATATGAGATCCGGGATAACGTCGCCGGATTGATGCGCTTTTCTTATGACATGACCCCTGATCTTATGCTATTGTCACTGTACATAGCCTGTTCTGTCCCTCTTTCTCTTTCTTCACTTGAGCAGTCGATAGACTCTGTACGGATAGCGAAGCGACGAAGTTAGTAACGAAGAAAACAAGAATAATATCAATTAAGATGAAAAAAAAAGAAAATGAAGACTTTTCTGTAAATTTCGAATATAGTCAAAGATGAGGGGGAATCAAGAGCTTCAAGATCTGAAAGCCTTGGGGCGTCTCGATTCGTCGTGGTCGTCGTTGGCAGGGCGCTTGGCCGCGGACCCGTTGGCCTGATTGCTGATTTGGTTGTTGAGCATCGTAAAGAGACTTTGCAGAACTTCTTTCTCGCCAAGGCGGACTTGAATAGCCATCGCCTTGCGGCGCATATATGTATCAGCAGGGTTGAGGGCGGCTGGCTGGCTCAATTGAGCGAGAAGCTCCTGGTCTTGTGCGATGGTTGTTGGGTAGTGCGCTTGGTTGAGCTCCAGCGCTCTACCAAGTATGGTAGCTTCGGCTTCGCCAAATGTCGGCTTGGGAGGCTTGTTCTTGGATATCTGCTTCTGCAGAAGTTCTGGCGACAGCGATAGAGTCTTGAGCAACAGAAGCAATTCATCCTGAAGGATGTCTGTCAACTGATCTTCAAGGGAGGGTCTTGGGATGGCATAGCCGTCATCAAGAAGTTCCAACTCTTCTAGGAACCGGAGCTATGGTAAACATTAGCATGGGCATGTTGGAAGCAGCAGACCTTGGAAACAGGAGTATACCGGAGGTTGCGATTCAACATCAGCACTCGAAAGACCCGCTGCCTGACATATATTGCTGAGGGATACCTCGATGACATCGAACGGAGCATAATTGTCGGTGACATACCCGTACCGTCGCAGGAGGTCTGACCGGGGGATCTCTCCGTAGTCATTGAAAATCTCCTCGCCAGCTCCGATAGATTTGATAGCTTTCATAACAAGAATCTCTTCTTCTTGGAAGAGGCGAGCCTGTATAGACGCATTAGTTAGGGCTATGAGGCTCCCCATAATAGATGGAAGGTCACCTACATTGTTTCGATCGGCATCTGCGTTGAGCAGATCGGCCAAAGGGACCATGCCTTTAGACGACTGTCCTTCCTCTTCGTCTGAAACATAGCCATCTTCTCCATCGCGTTCATCCTCATCCTCAGGCTTCTCGATATCGAACGCATAGGCCATGATAAGCGACCCCATGGTATGAGCCAGGTGGAGGAGAGCTTGCGTACCGACATCTCCTTCAAAAGAGGCTAAACCGTCGATGGGAGGGAACAGGGAAGGGTTTGCCCGTACAATGGGGGCTACGGTCTCGAGTATGGATTCTTCTGCGCCCTGTCGTCCGATCTTGTTCACGATGGCGCTGCCTTGAAGCTCCGCAAGTTCGGCTGGGGACCAAAACATCAGGGTGTCAAAATTCCGAGGAAGGACTCTGAAGTACGGTGCCCATGGGGACTGATCACCGCGAAGATACTCATAGATCATGACCACCATGAGAGAAAGCCATGGACCAAGTTCCTCCAGGTCGTGGGAGACCAGGTCCTTCAACTTCGAATTCTGAACGGAGAGGACATGGGCGCGGGGGATGGTGAAAAGCTCTTCGCCTTCTTCGAGATCGAGTCGAGCCACTGGTAGAGTGACACGAGAACATCAGAGAGGGGGAACGACTTCCACAAAGCAGGCATACAATGAGACAAGACCCATGCGGAACAAAAATCTCGTTTTTGGGAGGGTGGGAAACATACCGACACCTCGGCCGGCGCCGCTGGCCCTCAGATCAGCGATCTGAATCTTAGGGTTCAACCTGACGCCCGGGAGACTAGACAGCCAGGTGATGAACTCATCTGATTGTTGCTGGAAGTGGTTTGCGTCTGGAAAATGGGTAGTGGAGGACATGATGTGGGACGACAAGAGGTCAAGTTGTGTGGTGTGGATTGGCTGTCACACCAAAGAAAAAGGAAATTGAGCAACCCCCCACCGTCTAGCGGCCGCGGAAATTCAAGGGGAGACGGAAATGAACCCCAAGAGAACAGGGGGGAGAGGATGGAGAAAGGTATGGCGTGGTTGATAGAAGTGTCACGAGAAGGAGGGGGGGGGGAAGGTGAAGAGAGAATGGGAGAAAATGGGGGGTGGGTTAGTAGACCTGAGCAATTAGTTAGTAGTTAGTTAACTTAGCGACGCTGATAGACCGAGTCCTAACTTACTCCCCTCCGTACTGACCTACCACTTTTGAGTGACAGGCAGTTCTTACTACTAGTACTTTGTCTGTACCGCCGGATAAACGCTGCGGCGGATTTGCCGTCCCAAACTTCTGGCGACCAATCGATAACGTTGCTGATAAAGCCGAACCAGGCCCGAATTTGCCCCTCCATCACTGGCTCAGCTCGACCCGGCGGCCTTCGAGATTCATTTTTTGAACAGCTTCTCCGAAGCGGTGATCTGTCGGCTTAGCTTGCAAATCGTTCAATCGATTTGGAATCCTTTTTGCGCAAAAACCCTAGTCGTTCTATACTCCTCTACATCTGCGCTGCGCTGCGCCTTCCACCATGATTGCCGTCGGAATCGAAGGCTCTGCCAACAAAGTCGGAGTGGGCATTATCTTCCACCCGGAGGATGGCAGCACCCCGCAGGTGCTTGCGAACGTGCGGCACACCTATGTCACTCCTCCCGGGGAGGGCTTCCTACCCAAGGACACTGCCCGCCACCATCGCGCCTGGGTGGTGAAACTGGTCACGCAAGCCCTGCAAGATGCGCGGGTCTCCGTCAAGGATGTTGACTGTATTTGTTACACCAAGGGTCCTGGCATGGGCGCCCCTTTGCAGAGTTGTGCCATTGCCGCGCGCATGTTGAGCCTACTTTGGGGCAAGGAGCTGGTGGGAGTCAACCACTGTGTTGGACGTAAGTACAACGTCGTCATCTCTGCAAGCCCGTTATCAAGATCTTCTTCCACAGGGGTGCCATTGGGGAAAGACGCGACGCATTGGCCCCCGTCTAATATCTCCAACTCTTCATCTGCCCCCCTCCCCCCTATTTTTTTTACCCACCCTTGACCCTCCTTGGAGATCTTGGACACAAAAAGCCGCAATAGATCCACCGCCGCGTCGCTAAACCCTAAGCTTGAACAGATATTGAAATGGGTCGGGCCATCACCGGCGCCACGAACCCAGTCGTCCTCTACGTCTCCGGCGGAAACACCCAAGTGATCGCATACAGCTCGCAGAGGTACCGCATCTTCGGCGAGACCCTTGACATCGCCGTCGGAAACTGTCTGGACCGCTTCGCACGCACGCTACACATCTCCAATGACCCTGCGCCGGGCTATAATATTGAACAGTTGGCCAAGAAGGGCAAGCGACTCGTGGATCTGCCCTACACCGTCAAGGGAATGGACATCTCCATGTCTGGAGTTTTGGCAGCGATTGATGCGCTGGCCGTCCAGTACGGACTCAATGGGGAGTGGGACGAAAAAGATGAGAGCGCGGACTCTGCCCAAGGGGAAGCAGACGATGGGAAGCCGACTCGTGCGGATTTGTGCTTCTCACTGCAGGAAACCGTTTACTCTATGCTGGTGGAGATCACGGAACGTGCGATGGCGCATGTGGGATCGAAGGAAGTGCTGATTGTCGGTGGGGTGGGATGCAATGAACGGTTGCAAGAGATGATGGGTATCATGGCTCGCGACCGCGGGGGCACCGTACATGCCACGGATGAGAGATACTGCATCGACAACGGCATTATGATTGCCCAGGCCGGTCTGATGGCCTACAAAACCGGCTTCCGGACGTCGCTTAAGGACGCCACTTGTACGCAACGGTTCCGCACGGATGAGGTTCTAGTGAAATGGAGGGACTGAACCGTGTGCCGATTTGATTAAGAGTTATGATTCTCATGATATAAGTAATAGAACTTAGACAAATGTCTTGAACGATGCCGCAGGGTTCGGCGCTTGAAAGCCATACTTAGGTTGACGCTGCAAGATAAGTAGTCAATCACTCACTGACTGATCGCTCCCTCTATTTCTATATCAAAGACTACAACCAAGACCCAGATAGTTTTGCGCCGGAAGCTGTGGGGATAATGTGTCATTTGCGGACTGACCGGCCCCGCTTCGATATCGAGGAATTGGGTAGAAGCTTGTTTCGAGGATACATCAACACAACTATTTGTATGAACTAAGGCGAGAACGCCGAGGTACCACGGGACCGTTGGCCGGCACTCACGAGGCTCAGTTATCAGCCGATCCTAATCACTAGTCATACACCACCTCAATAACAGAGCAACATCGAGCAGGGAAGCAAACCCTTGCATCTCAGGTTCATTGTCCCAAGCAAATCGGGGGTATTCAAGATCCAGTGTGCTTGGATTGCACGCCCAGTTATATGTGGATCTATGGTACTCTAGACTTCTTGGCAATAAAACGCAATGGAAGTCAAATATCCGTGATTCTCAAATCATCTATTTCATATGGATGAGTTTTACAGCGAGCTCCATTCTGCATAAGACAGACTTTCCCGTGGGTTTGGATACCGAGTCAATACTCACACTGTTCGGGCCATGCAGTGGAGAGAGCAGTAAAAGGAGTCGATTCTATCTGTAGTTACTCCGAGATATCTCCTGTAGGCTTGTACAAAATTGTCGTCACATACTGCACAAGTTTGAGTCAATATCATACAAGGAACACTAGGAGAAGAATACCAATTACAGACGATGGACTTACCTTTCGCTTGTACCTAGTTGTCACACTAGTGGCCAAAACACCGTTCTTGATGCTGCTGGTAGCAAGATGGTTTAGCACCGTGTGGTTGGGATAGTTCAATACACTGCTATCATCCTTCATCGGTGTAGTGCCGTTCAGGATGGACTTCCCGAGGAAGAGTGGTAGACTTGGTGGCGTTGGAGCATCCCCCACGATATTGACAGCTTGCTGATACTCGGGCGCTTCCTCTTCTTTGTCCAGGTCGAGAAGAAACTGGGGAATAATACCGCGGAAATCACCAAGAGGTATCTCCTCCTCTGGCTCTTCTTTATCAGATTGATCATCCACGGTGGAACCACCCTCCTGATCGGGAGTGGCAGGGTCAGGTAGGACCTGAGGCGGACGAATACCCGGGGGAACCGAGCCCTTGTCGCTCTCTCTCCGCCCCCGATTAATGTCATCGGCACTGATCTCGATATAGTTGACCAAGTGGTTCGTGAAGTCCACCGCCGTCGGAAGAGTATCAGAAGCCCGCATTTCGTTGTCGACAATAAATTTAAGATGATGGGTACCCGGACGGAGGTTTAATCTAGCTGACATAACGCCTGGGTTGTTCTCACTGCTCCAGAGATAATTCATCAGTCCTCGAAAGCCAGGTAGCTAGTGACGATTGAAAGCGGCAGCCGCAAGTCCTCTAGCCAAAGCACCACAGTTCAAAACAACATACGAGCTGGCAGAGATCGAGCAATCGGTGCTGAGACCCGTGCGGTGATAGTCACGTACCTTCTGTGTAGACGGAACTTCTTCTCCCAATTCACGAATGTTCCAGTTACATAGACCTTGTCTCCAGGCCCGGTCCACTCAATGGTAGTCGGCACTGCCCTTCCCACTCCGCTAGGCGTAAAAGGCTGAAGCTCGTCCAATATCTCATCATCCTCCACAGTGGTGCTTCCTTGACTCGGGTGCCTTTGCTCAATATGTTCGTCCAAAAGCTGGTCGACGGGCAGCGACTCCATATAAACATCTTCTCGACCAACAGCTGTAGCATCGCCAATGGGTAGCGGCATTCGCGGAGGGCGCTGGAGATGAACGGAGGCGCTGTAATATACATTTGGCGGCGCCCCAGAGGGCGCCATGGGGTCGTCTCTAGCAGTGGCTCGAGAAACAGGAACTTGTACTGGGTTAGAAGGGTCAGGCGAAGGGATGTCACCATCGCGAAGGTCTGCTTTTTTGGGAGTCGGACGATCTTCGGTTCTTGCTGCGGAGTCGGCGACATTGCGGGATTGTAGGCGTTGTTGAACCGAATGGTGGCTTTGCGATGTTGGATAACCCTTTGCGGTCTCTCTGGTGGCCGGAGGATCGGCTGCGGAAGCCTTAGTGGTACCCGATGAGGCATTGACCGAAGGTCGACGATGTACCCTTTTGTCACTCGCGGGTGCCGTTAGGCCCGAGTGACCCGAGGGGGTTTGGGCGTCTCCGGCCGGGCCCTTGGAAGGATTGTTGCCCATTTGAACAGCAAATACCGAGACACTTATTGATTAAAGGAGTGAAGCTGAGAGTCTCAGGGTATGTAGTAAGACGCTGCACGGAGGACGTTTAAGAAAGGCGCATACAAAAAGATGCCAGCATCCGGAGGACGGCCTCTGACGGCGGAGGGGTAATGGACTTCTGAGAATAATAAGAGATCGACAACTGGGTAGAGAACACCTTGTAATGATCGACAGACGTAGCACAGTAAATGAGGGGAAATAAGTAGCAAATGTATCTTGGGAAATAAGAAGAGTCTGGATCAACAGAGGCGGGTGGAGGATATCGCAACGGGGAGATGCTGATGGGTTGCCGCGTTGATGATTGATGATGTCGATGTCGTTCGACCCCAGACTAGTACTAGAGAGGAGACAAGTCTGGGCCAGGAAGGGAGACTTAGGGCTTAGGGTTGCGGACTGTTTTGACTGATGAGTCTCAATTCTATCCCCGATCCCCGCTTTTCCCATCATCGATCGGCTTTCGGTCCGGCCGCTATATCACTCCGTCAGTAATTATTATCGTTTGCCGGTAGTTGTACTGAAGTTGACACCCAGCCTTATACTACAGTACCGTCCTGTCCAGTCAACAGCTCCCTTACACATTGAACTGTACAGTACGGAGTACACTACCTATCATCCTGCACTCCGTAGTCGGATGAGGTCCTTCCGGTTCTCGAAGCGGACGCCCGTCCATCGATCGCACCTGCTTCACTTAGTAAAATCGCGGGGAATATCCGCCCTTCTGCCGCCTTTGACCGCTTGACATAAGCAGATTACCAGCCTCCCCTTGATATGATGGACGCTCTAGGCACGCCCGCGACAGTCCTAAGCTGTTTAATTTACTCTGGATTGCTGAGGTGAGAATAGTCCTGGTCTCATCGCTTTAGATTGAGCACATGGCTTGGCTGTCAGTTCTGCGGGGCGGCTTCAATGCCTTATTCTATCCTACTCTTTACCTAGTGCGCTGGGCATATACACTGCTGCGCATTCTGACCTCGCCGTTGGTAGCACTGGGCTACTTCGCGGTTCAAATCATCTTGCTGCCTTTGAGGATACTTGTCAAGCTTGAGGTACGTACCTAGATCGTGTGCTTTGTCCCTCTAGTATCGCAAGAAGAAGAGAGAGCTCACATGATGCTCGCAGGCCCTATTTGCCTTCCTTGCGATTGCCATCCTGGCAGGAGTCGGCATTGGATTGATCTTGTTCGGCACGACTACAATTACCGTCGAGACAGCAGATCGGCTGGTAAAGTTTATACTGGGTACCGCTGCCCGAAAGTTCTATGGGAATGACGATGATCTCCCCGACGACACTGCGAAGACGACGCCTTCTGCAAGCGATCCCAGTACTGAGGATGACTACTTCACAGCTTGGCACGGGAGGCAAGCTTCGAGGGATCTAAGGAAGGCTGCTCTTCTAGCCGACACGATTGTCGAGGAAGAGGAGGCCAGCCGCAGCTCGAGTCATTCTAGATAAAAGTCCTTCAAATCCAAAGCAACGAAGCCATGATGCAGTGTACAGGCCTAACATGCTTCTTCACGAACCACGTTTGCTAGTGATGCAATTGATCTGATTAGTTTAGCGGGCTACGGGTGCAGTCAAATGTCAGGTGTCCGTGGTTGAAGGCCTGGCCCTACCGTGCGGACACTTGCCGGAAGGAAACATGGGGAATGCTACCTCAGCAAAATGATCGCCCATCGGCCCGCATTCGCACATCCAGCATTTTACATTCTTCCTTATCCATCATCTCATCCATCCGATTACTTCCCCTCAAATTACGTGGGACGTAGGCGAGAGTATCAAACATGCTTGAGTCACTTTCGGATTGTGATTTGTGATCTCTGGGTGTTTCACTCATGCTTTTCTGGTGCCAGGAACCTGGGTTCGCCATGCCCTAACTACATGAAACGCTGGATGGGTTTATGGTGACATTGAGCATGAGACGATAATGGTGAGCGTCATACCCGGTGTTTCCGCGAATCTCGGATCGCAGCAAATCCATCCATTCTCACCTATGGAACTCAGGCGGACCTGTATCTCCTCGATCAATTCAAAACTCCTATTCTTTATTTCTGCTCATGATGACGACCTATTTTCACTACGTATCCTCCTACTTGCTCATCCTCCAAGCAACATTGTGTGCCTTCTGCAGTGGTCTGCATCCAAGTCTGTCTCTCGCGCCTCCATTTAGCGCCTGTAAAGCATTGAGTCTTCATACAAGCCCAACAGACGCAGAGAACATATCAATTTGAATTTTCTTTGCTGTCAATCTTGCGACTGTACAAATTTTCCGCCCCTCGGGTGTGACAAAGTTGCAGTAGAGACCCGATTCAAAGGGTGCTTGGCCAACACCAGTCTCACTGCCCTGAGATCCACCTGATCCATGACTTCTAGAGAGCAATGTTTCCCAGTCGCGCGGCGTTGCGCATACGCATCATTCTGGCGGGCCTATTCCTCGTGTTGATATGCAGCCAGTCTTTCTCGCGCTGGCACAATCAGAGTGATGTACCCGAAGCCACCTCCATCGATGATCCAGCTGTACTCCGACAAGCTCAGCTCACCTGGCGTCATGCTGCTGAAGGCCACATCGAATTCTGGCGTCAATTCCAACCCCTGCTGACCACTTACGAACCAAAATGCCTACCCCCTTTGAGGCTGGGAATGGCACCATCAATTCGGTTCGAGCAGGCAGACCCTTACGACCAAACCGAGTTCCTGGATCTCCTCCCCATGGACATTGAGGACCTGCAACAGACGCATCGGGGCTTCCTGGACGCAATCCAGACTACGCCGCCTCAACTGAACTACACGCGCAACACGCGCGGTCTCGTGTCCACCGCAGGAGGATCCTACCTCCCCGTGCTCGTGCTATCGCTCCGCATGCTCCGGCGTACCGGCTCCCAGCTCCCAGTCGAAGTCTTCCTCGCCAGCGAAGACGAGTACGAGACGTACATCTGCGACGTGATCCTGCCCTCGCTGAACGCGCAATGCATCGTGCTCTCGACCATCCTCAACGCGATCCCGCACTCCATCCACATCCAGAAGTACCAATTCAAGCTCTTCGCGATGCTCTTTTCCTCCTTCGAAGAGATCCTCTTCCTCGACGCGGACGCCTACGCGCTCTTCCCCCCGGAAACCCTCTTCACGCGCGACCCCTTCCTCACGCACGGCCTGATCACCTGGCCCGACTTCTGGGCCACGACGATCTCCCCGTCCTACTACGCGATCACAGGGCAACCGACCCCGAGACCGCCGACGCGCCCGTCCAGCGAATCCGGCGAGGTGCTCCTCTCGAAAAGAACGCACCTGCGCACCCTCCTCCTCAGCACCTACTACAATATCCACGGCCCGGAGTTCTACTACCCGCTGCTGTCGCAGGGCGCCGCCGGCGAAGGCGACAAGGAGACCTTCGTCGCCGCGGCCCTGGCCCTCGCGGAGCCGCACTACCAGGTCGCCGAGCCCCTCTGCGCCATCGGCCACACCACGCAGCGCGGCGGCGGCTTCGCCGGCTCCGCCATGGTGCAGTTCGATCCCGCGGAGGACTTTGATCGTCATCACCACCGTGCTGATACACCAAAACCCCAGCCACAAGCGCACGGCTTCTTCCTGTCCACCAACAATGAAAGCACGACCCGTAGCACCCCGCGGGCCTTCTTCATCCACGCCAACTACCCGAAATTCGATCCCGCCACTGTCTTCGACGCGCACGAGGTCAACCCCGCCATCGGCGACGATGGCCGCTACACCCGCGCCTGGACCGGGCCGCCGGAGATCATCCGGGCGTTCGGCCGCGACGTCGAGAAGGAGTTCTGGGAGGAGATCCGGTGGACGGCGTGCGAGCTCGAGGGGAAGTTTCGCTCCTGGGAAGGGAAGAAGGGGATCTGTAAGAGGGTGAAGAAGTACTACCAGGCGATGTATGGGGGACGATGGTGGGGTTGGTAGCTTCGGAGGGTTGAGGTGCGGCTGTTTGCGCCCATTCAACTAATAATAACCTGTTGAACTGGAGAAATTCTAGGGGTTTCAGGTTGGCTATGGTTTGGACAGCTTGAATGCCCCTTGATGGGCGGCGGTTCTTGGCGTTGTCGTGTCTTATCGTCCGCGGGTTATGCGCCTGTATACTTGCTAGATTGAATCGTGGAACGTGTCCAAGTCATGTCCATATTCATACACAACATCTATCTTAAATATACAAGAGTTGAAAAGATCTTCTATCCTTGCTAAGCCAGAAACGAGGCAAATCCCCTCGATATGTTTTTAAAGGACCCCCACCACTCGCTATATCCCGTCAGTTCAATTCAGCCCCTTCGCCTCCGCCCTCCGAATCGCCTCCCGGAACAACTCCTTGCAAGGAACCCGACTCCCCAACCGAGCGCAGAGCAAGAACGCCCCGCTCAACTTGCGATGCAGACTGTAAGTCTCCTCCGGGGGCGGCGTGAGCCGCTCGCGGATCATGACGGGGATCAGCGCGCGCACGCGGTCGGTGATGGTCTGGTCCCGGAAATCATAGACGTCGGGCGAGGTCTCCATGAAGGGCTCGGCGATGGTGATGACGGAGGTGACGTGGGCATCGACCATCGCCTGGCTCTCGTGGCCGGTCAGGTAGCCCAGCTCGAGAGAGAAGCGGCGGCAGGCGTCGCGGTCGTTGCTGGAGGCGGCGACGAGGGTGCGGACGTACTTGGTGATAAACTCGGTCGGGTAGGCGCGCGAGGCGCCGAAGTCCAGCAGCTCGAGGCGGTCGGTGCGCGCGTTGTAGAGGAAGTTGGTCCAGTTGGGGTCCGTCTGCATGTATCGGAACTCGGTGATCTCGCGCAGGCAGAGGCGCATGATCTGCGTGCCGATCCAGTCGCGCTGGGCCTGCGTGAAGTCCTGGATCTTGGTCACGGCGATGCCCTCCAGGCGCTCCATGGTGAGCACCTGCTTGCCGGACGCTTCGGGAATGATCTCGGGAACGAGGAAGACGGGGTCGTCGCGGAGGAGTTCGCGGAAGCGGTTCGCCGATTCGGCTTCGCGGATGTAGTCGCATTCCCAGGCGAGTTCGGTGCGAGCGTTCTCAATGGTCTTGTCGAGGTAGAGGCCTCGGGGGAGGAGGCGGGATGCCGTGAGGAGGATGGAGAGGTTGTTGAGGTCGGAGTCGATGGAGTCGGCTACCCCGGGGTATTGGATCTTGACAGCCACGGGTTGGCCGGTACGTTTCAGAACGGCACTGTGCACTTGTCCGATGGAGGCAGCGGCCATGGGAATATCGTCGAAAGAAGAGAATAGATCGCGCCAGTCCGGGCCGAGGTTGTCGGTCAGCACCTTGTCGCGTTGCGAGGCAGGCATGTAGTCTGCTCGGTCTTGGACTCGTTGGAGGACTTGATGGATAGCTTCAGGAAGCATCTTTGTGTCTGCGAACTTCATTAGACTGGAAGAATCGAAGCCCGTAGGGTGCGCATACCTTGAATACTTATCACCTGTCCCAACTTCAGGGCAGCTCCGCGCATCTTGGACAATTTAGCTACAAGCCGCTCCGTGTTCGCAGCACTGAACATGAGCGACCCGGATGATTCGGCTTGACTGCCTGTGACCCTGCGAAGACCCTCGCCCATGGCACCCCACGCCATTGAAGTGGCCAGTCCGCCGTACTGCCATAATCTCCCGATGCGGGATGATGGGACACGGGACTCAACCATCTTGTATGTGTTCTGGTTCTTCAAGGCGGCAGCCGTTTCTGGCTCTGTCTGTGTGGGAATGTCAGCTTCTTATCCATTGCAGGACCAAACCACCCTGCTCAACATACCGCCGCTGCCGCTTCCGCGACCATCTCCCCCACAGCACGGGCTTCTTCTTTCTCCTGTTCGATTTGATTCGCATGCTCTGCCCGAGGCACCGCGCCCGCCTGCTTGTACCGCATATCCGCCGCCGGCTTCCGAGACATCATCCTTGCGACTCTGGGACTGTGAAACATATCCTTCATCATCTCTTCCGGGATTTCGGTCGGTTCGGTCGTATTTGTGGTTGCAGCCTGATCTACCGAGGCAGTCTTCACTGGGGATTGGAACACATCCGCATTGATATCGCTATCGGAACCGATTTGTGTGTCATTCGCTTTCTTGGGCAACTTCATCCGGGGAAGCCCCGAGTCACCCACTGTGGAGTGCTTGGGAGGTTCGTAGAACACATCCTGTTGTTGACTGACATCCAAAGGACTCGCCTGTCCGCTCCCATTGTGGTCCGCCACACTCGAAGGAATCTGAGCTTCCGCCTGTCTTTGTGCTTGCCGCGCCTGAGCGGGGGAGAGATCGGATGCCGCACTGCTGGTGGTGGCGGTCGGGGTCGGCTCCGCGTGGCTCGATGCGGTCGTGGGTGCTGACTCGGACGGACGGTAGGGATCGGGATCGGGTTCATTGAATCGTCTGGCTAGTGCAGCTGCAGCTTGCGCCGAGAGACACAGGCCATCAACCTGGCTCTTGATGCCCTTGGTGAGGGAGGAAGTGCGGGTGTATAGATCAATCTGGCGTTGGCGGATGGCGAGATGCCTCGCCGCCACTGTCCCAGCGACATTGCACAATTGAATGACGTCTAAGAGACGCTTGCCCGACATTGTTTGTATACGTCTGTAAGGTGTATATAAAAGGCGGCCCGTTCAATCCCCCAGGCTTATTCTGTGCGCATGATTCGATCAGGTGGAGCGGCGATAATCTACCTATTCAGAAACCGGTTTATCCGGAATAGATGAACGCATTGGTGGAAATCGCATGGGCTGTAATTCCCGCCCGCGACCGGGGGATGCTTTTTCTGCCGGGACTCACCGCGGAGAAACTTGGCTTCTTACGTATCTTGTTTACGGAGTACTTGATTTATCTCGACTTTCCTTCCCGGTTAGCTCCGAGTCCGATGGGACCCGTTATCGGCACTTCAACCGATAAGGGGAATTTGAGCAAAAAAAAGATGGCGCGGCTGGCGGGGAAGGGGAATTCGCCTTGAAAGAGGTAGATATAACAAAGCGCCACTCCCCCCTTGCCAGGCATCATGAATTCCCCAAGAAACCTCCTCCCCTACCTTGGATAGCTTGCCGAACACCCCCCAAATGGCCGTCAAAATCACCACTCGAGACCTAGAGCAGGAGATCATCGATCTCGAGTCCCGTCTACAATATGCTCGGAAACGTCTAGCATTGGCATCGTCCTCCCCTTCCACACCGCTACCGCCGTACAACCACCACCACCACCACCACGATGATGGCGACTCCGACTATGACACGACTCCCACCAAGGGTATGTACATACATACATACCCCATCTACCAACCGTGAACACCTTCTGATTCACCAAACCACACAGACAACACAGCACCACCACCCTCAATCCCGATTTCGCACGCGCTTCTTCTCCTCTCCGACTCCGCCCTCCCGCTGGGCTCCTTCGCCTACTCCAGCGGTCTGGAATCCTACCTAGCCCACAACAAACCCCTCCCCCGCACCGTCACCCCCGTGGCCTCGTTCCATCGCTTCCTGAAGCTCTCGATCGCCTCGATGGCCAGCACCTCCATCCCCTACGTGCTCGCCGCATACCGGAACCCGGAGGAGCTGGAGACGCTGGACAACGACATGGACGCCTCGACGCCCTGCATCGTGGCGCAGCGCGCGAGCGTCGCCCAGGGCCGGGCGTTGATCGGGGTCTGGGAGCGCGCGTTCCGGGCCTCCTACACAACAACAACAAAAACCCTAACCCCCGCCGCGGCGGCCGCGATGCAGGCCATCTCCGATTTCTCGGACGCGTTGAAGCTGTGCGGCGATACGGCGGATGAGCTGGGGCCCAAGGGCCATCTGGCGCCGCTGTGGGGGGTCGTGTGCTCGGCCATGGGCATGGATGCCCGCCAGACGGCGTATGTGTTCATGGTGAACCACGCCAAGGCGGTGCTGAGTGCGGCGGTGCGGGCCTCGGTCATGGGGCCGTATCAGGCGCAGAGCGTGCTGGCCAGTCGGCGTCTGCAGGACATGATCACCGAACGCATCGACAAGGAATGGGATACCCCCGTCGAGGACGCTGGGCAGATCGTACCGCCGTTGGATCTGTGGGTGGGCAGACACGAGCTGCTGTACAGTCGGATCTTCAATTCCTGATCACACCCACCACCAACCGCACCAAGCATATTTGCATTTTTCTGGAGTCATTCGTTGTTTTGGAGTGGGGGCATTGGTCGTTTTGTAATTTCATGGCAGGTCAGCGCAAGAGTCTGGGTAATGGCGGAATTTTTGTTTTTTTAGCATTGGATAAATCTGGGCTGCGTTCAGCATCTTTGTTCGGTCTCTTTCATCAATATAGTTATTTTTTCTAAAGTTAATCCTACATGTGAGCTGCATACCTCATCTCAACTTCACGTGGGTATCCAAGGAGGACGCCTCGAAACACAAACAGGGAATCGAACAAAACGGGCAGAAAAGAGGAAAATGGAATCAAACCGGTAACCCGAAGACCAACAACCCGGCCAATATGCAAAGAAGATATCTGATCAAAAAGGAACAGATCTGAATCAAACGCCGGCCTTCTTGAGAATCCTATCCTGCTAAACACACAGTAAAACACCGCACCATGAGCCTTTTTCCATAATTAGAGAAAGATATGGGGTAGAAAGAAAAAGGAAAGAAAGAAAGAAAGAAAAAGGGTAATAAAACGGACATAAAGAGAAAAATCGGGAGAGAGAACGGCAAAATGGCAAGTCGGAGGGATAATAGGGAAGGGGAAGGGGAAAAGGAGAAAGATAGAGACTATGATACAAGAGATTTATAAACGGAGAGGTGACATCAGATCACAGAGTGATATGCATGTAGTCGTTATTGCCGAAGGACTTGTTGCAGTTAGGGCACTTGCGTGACCGCGAGGTAAGACGTTCTTCGACACAATCCTTGCAGAAGACGTGGCCGCAAGTCTTGATCGCTGTATTTTTGAAATTCCGACGACAAACTGTACAGAGAGCAAGCGTCTACAGAATTGTTAGCAATGGGAACTTTTTGCAATGATAAGACGTGGTACTGACCCGCAGCATCTCATATTCAGATGACTGGTTGCCAAGACTCTTGTTCTTCCAGTTGTCTAGACTCTTCTTCGTGTCCGCCAGGGTAGCCTTCAAGCCCTCGACTTCCGTTTCGGCTTTACGACAAGCACTGGCTGTACTGGAAAGTGTCGAATCTTTGGATGCGGACAACGCCTTGAGATCCGCCACTTGCCTGTTCAGACCCTCGATTGTGATATTGTTTTCCGTGATTTGTTGTTGCGCGGCGTGGTTCTTGGCAATCAAGCTATTCAATGCTTCCTTGGTCTCACTCACTTGTTTTTCCATGTTCGCAAGCAAATTTCGAGTTGCAGCCTCCGATTCCTTCAGCTGCGTGACAATGTCCGAACTCTTGGAGTTCTGCATACGCAAAGTGCGAACCTCCAACTCCCGAGCTTCCTTGCTTTTCATTGCAGCGAAGTATTTTTGATCTGCTTTGGACTTCTCCGCAATGAGTCGTGCGACCTTCTCCTCCAGAGCGCCGACATCGGTGACTTTCTGCGAAGCCAGAGACGAGTACTTTTTGCAAGCAATTTGCATCGAGGATAATTCGGTGTTGAGCATCGCGTATTGGCGCTCTAAATTGCGGAATCGAGTACGCAATTCTTCGGTTGAGATTTCATCGACACTCGGTGCGGCGGCCTTCTCCTTCTCAACTTCGACACGCAAGCGCTCCACCTCGGATTCCAGGGCTGCGATTCGAGCCTGGCCTGCATCTGCGAGTTCCTGGACTTTGATGGCCGTGGTTTTCTCCTGCTCCTGCGCAGCCTTTCGCATCTGTTGATCCGCCAATAATTCGTCGCGCGCATTCCGTATCCGTGCCAAATCCGTCTCAGCCCGCATCAGTTGCGCTTCCCTCTCGGCAATTACACTCTGCGTCTCCTCGTCGACCTGGTTGCGGTATGCAGTTCGTTCCGACCGTAATTTCGCCGCTTCTTCGCGAAGTTGTACATTAGTCGCCTCTAAATGGTTTATTCGAGTGACAACATCGTCGTATTGAGATCTCAACTGTTTGAACAGGTCCGTGCTTGCATAATCATCATCCGTCAATCGTGTATGCTACGCCTATGTTAGTGCTTCCCGGCTGAGAGAACATGCGCAAGGAGCATACCTTGATATTCAAGTCAGTAATTTGGCTTAACAATTTGGCGTTCTCGGCCTCCAATTTCTGGAGCTGTTCCTTTTGCTTTTCCGAGATGGCCGCGAGTTTGTTGTGGGCTTCGTCCAACGCAGGGCTTCGTTCACCACTTGGAGTTGCGCCATTCGAGGCTGACGGTTCGTCCCGCTGTCCAGATGCACTATCACCCCCGGGCCGCTGGGCACCCAGTATATACTGCTTTTCGAGTTTGGCGACAGTGACGCTCCGTGCACGATCAAGTTTCTTCTCGGCGACCATGTAACGTAGAGATGCCTCCTCCAAGCTCTCCTCTAGCTGCTGCTTTTCCGCCAACGCCTTCTCGAGATCGCTGATAGTGGCCTTCTCTTCCGCTAGTTTCTTTGCGAGTTGGGTCTGCAACTCTGAGACCTCGGGCGAGACTTTCGCCGATTTCGACAAGACGCTCGAAATTATTTTCCGGATATCCTCCGACCGAGATTTAAGATGTTTCTCAAATTTCTCATTATCGTCAAACAAGAGACTGCTTTGGAAAGACGAGGGTTCTGTGGAAGGGTTAGTGGCTGGGTGTAGAGCAACTAGGGGCCTCACGGCGGACCCACCCTTGGCACCTTCTTCCGGAGCGCCCATGAGTATTTTAACCTCATCGATCAACTTGACGAGCATCAGCCTTGCACACAGAGCGAGCAAAATACGGAGATCTACTCACTTGTTTGTACCAGGCATCAATAATACGTAGGTGATCATTATGGTTGGTGGTCGACTTGGATAACTCTTTCAACTTGGCCTCAAGGGACACCTTCTCCCGCTTGTACTCCTGCATCTGGCGCCATATTGCGTCTTTTTGGAATCGCTGCGACGAAAAGACGTCAGTATCTCGCCTGGTTGAGTCCACGGTCCAGTCGACTTTGGCGTTGGGAAGGGTTTCTAGGGTAACCCTTGGGGTAAGTTGACACCCACGTGGGCTATTCGTGGCACTCACCTCGAGATCATCCTTCCAGGGCATATCAGCATCGGGGTGCGGCTTGCTACCACCATTGACAGAAGTCGCCTGCTTCTTCAATGGTGGAGTCGAGTCGTTGTGGTCATAAGCAGCGGCTCTTTTCCGGTCTTCCATCGTGACAAAACCGGAATCGGAAGATGCGACGGGGGATGCTTCGGCGGCCGGCATCAGTGGCTACAGAGGCATAAGTGAATTAGAGGCCGTCACCACTGAGCAGCAACGAGCCGAAAGCCGAGACCGCAAGAAAATCCGACCGTAGAAGATATGGTGATGAGGGTGGGGTGGTGATGAGTAGAGTGAATGAACAGAGAGGGGGGGATGGAAGAGGGTATGTGCTGGATGGGGTTTGGGGGTTTATGTGTAGAGAAGGTTGAGATAAGCAAGACTTAGGAAAGCCAGGAGGATTTTCGGCCTGGGAGTTTGCGTTTCCTAGCGCCTCCCACGTGACCCCGTCCACTTTCCCCGGGAGTTCAGCAGATCTGGGCATCTAGACTCGACTCAACTCGACTCAACTCGACTCGACTCGACTCGACTCAACTCTTTCATCTATCATTCAATCTCATTTGTGCCCCTTTGGTCATCCACGCATATACTCCCTCATTAAATCGACTGTCTTACCAGCGAATACATATTGGCGATGACCTAATTTGTTCAGAATTGTTATTCGGAATGAAGTCTTTTTCCAGTTCGGTCATCAGTAAGTTTTCTTTTTCCTTCTCCTCCCTCGGATTCCGATTTCCACTGTGACTCGTATCTAATCTTTCTTGCTTCGCTAGATAAGTCGGGCAAGAAGTTTGCTCCCAAGGCGCCCGCCCGGCGCGCCCCAGCTCCCCCTCCACCGCGGCGGCCCAGTGTTGCGTCGCAACCGTCTGCTTCCCAGACACCGCAGCCAGCGACCGCGACAGCCACACCTGAGCCAGGCCCTTCTACCACCTCTGTCTCTGTCCAACAGACAACTGCCGTTGACACAATTCCCATCGAAACACCAGACGCAGCCCCGAAGAAGAAAATCACGCCCTCGTTGCCTGCGACCGCGATCGCAATACCCCAACCGAAACGGAAGCCCTCCGTCTCAGCAGCGCCTCCCAAGGTCGCAGAAGTAGTATCCCCACCCCCTCAACCCACCCCGCCTAGTACCGCACCTACCGAACTTGCGCCTCAGTCCTCAATCAATGAACCCTCGGAAACGCGCGCCGATAGCAGTAGGGACGTCAGCCCAACGCACGTGGTAGAGCGCCGTGCTGAGGAGGCCGCTGCTCCCCAAAGTCGCGTGCGCCGTCCCGCAGATGGCGCTATCGAAATTCGCCCTACCAAACGACCCAGGACTAATTCGGTGGCCAAGGCCTCTATCCCACCTCCTACCGCTCCTACAGAACCCCCAGTGACCGAGTTTCCTCTTCCAACGCCTCCCGCTTCTCAAGCTACCGCTATAGACACTCAAGAACCGACAGAAAGTCAGACAGAAACAGAGTCGCAGACGCCCGCCCCTACTACGCAGCCGCGAAAAGTGGTTAAGGTGCGAAGGAAATCTGTCAAGGAAGGGAATGGTGAGAATGCGACGGGCAAGAAGAAAGAAAGAAAGACTCGTACGCGGAAGAAGCGCGAGCCGACTCCTGAGGGTTCCGAGCATGTCGAGATCGCCCCTGGTCTCATTAAAATGTCGGAATTATGCAAGGACCTCCGAACCGGAAAACTTTCTAAGAGAGAAACTGAACTTCGCATCCTTGATCAAGCTGAGCAAGAGCGCAAACAGCGCGCACAGCAAGAAGGAGACACTGAGTTTCCAGTCAAGGCCAATGGAAACGAGGCCACGCCAGCAGCTGAAGGAAACAGCATGCTTGACAACAAATCTCAAGCTGGACCGGTGATGCGCATTGTGAACGGAGAAATCGTGCTCGATACTGCTTCCTTGCAGGTTGACCGCCATGCGGATGCCGCACGAAATGCCGGCGCGCTGGAGGACGTCGTGGAAAACACACTCACTCGGAAGATCAACCAGTCTACTTACGGAAAACGGTCCAAAACCGAGTCCTGGGATGAGGAAATGACGGATCTATTTTATCGAGGGTTGCGTATCTTCGGCACCGATTTCATGATGATCAGCAAACTTTTCCCGGGAAGAAGCAGGCGGCAGATCAAGTTAAAGTTTAACAATGAAGAGCGCCGCGACCCCTTGCGCATCAAGGATACCCTTCTCGGTCCACGGGAGAGTATTGACATCAATACCTATTCCCAAATGACCAACACGGTGTATGATGATCCCAAAGTCATACAACAACAACTAGACGAAGAACGGAAACAGATGGAGGAACAGCATGCCAAAGAGAAGGAGGCTCAAGAAGCACTGCTTCGCAATCCGGATGGTGCGGCTGAAGGAGCTGGTCAAAATGGTGATATGCCTGCTAAGGTCAAACGACCCAGCCGGAGGCAGGCGATGAAAGCTATGGCCGGTGGAACAGAGGAGGTATTGGGCACGATCGACGACGTGCCTTGAGGTTCCATGCCATGCACGCGGTGCATTATTCTGGCGGAGTTCCTATAGATGCGGCAACATACAGGCGTTATGTGCTTCGTGTTACGATGAAGAAAGCTGGGAAAGCAGGTACCGGAGGTGTCTGATTTTCGAGGTATTTCCAGAGGGGTTTCCCCTTGGATACCTATGCTTACCCTAATCTAGGCATCAATACAACCGCCATGTGGCTCCTTCATTTAGAAGACTCGTTTACTCCATGAACTAGCACCAAGTCATCCGAATCAGAGTCACAGCCCACCCACTTTCTCCACGCCAATTCCCCTCCCTTCAACGGCGTCTAGTCGAGCCAAACCCAGTACTTGTGGACGTACTTGAAAACTGCGGCGAGCGCGAGCGCGACCCTGAGCTATCTTCGCCGGGGTCGTCCCATCTCGTGAAAGACGGAGTGCGCCTTTGCCTGAAAGTTGGGGTGCGACGACGGTTTCTGCTTCCCAGGCCATAGCCAGCCGCAGCGCCGCCCAAAGCACCTGTCCAAAACCCGGGTCTCCATGGTTCAGAGGCAGGAGCAGGATCCGGACAACTGGAACTGGTATAGGGAGGGGGAGGATCACGAGGGTAGGGGCCGCCGCCGCCACCACCACCACCACCACCTCCCCATCCACCCCAGCCGCGACCGAGCCCTCCAGCCCGTCGACCTCCGCGTAGGCCAAAACAATCTCTCAGCATGGGCAGCATTATCAGGAAGAAACACGCCACCATGAATCCGAAGAAAATCAGATTTCCCAGTGTGGAAAACACGCCTCTCCAGCCAGATAGGTCGACGTCCGCCGGCCAGAAATCGCTATCCTGCCTTCCTGAGCCGAACCGCTCTTCTCCCACCTCCGTCAGTAACAAGCGATATTCAACACCGCAGCTCCCTTTCAAGACCCATTTATCATCGGCGTCCCTATAACCCTCGCACACTACGTCGGTTGATCCAAGCTTGAACTCCGGTGGGAGCGAGGCAGTGCAGGTCCACTGGATGTCCTCTTCGTCGTAGTCGTAGCCTTCGTTTGTGCATCGCATCGTATCGATGGGGTATAGGTTGCAGATGCGCTTGGAGGGACCGATGCATTTCAACTGAGGGATGGGCGAGACTCGCTGAGAGGTGGTCAGGCGATTTGCGCGCAGAGTGAGTGAGTGGACGCGGGAGAGGAGGATGGCATCTCTGCCTGGTGGTTGCTGTGATCGGCCATATGATAGGAGCAGCTGTGAGAGGAGAAGGAAGAGGAACTGTAATAGGCGAGAGTGACGCATGATGGATGTGTTTGTTGGTCTCGAGCTCGAGAGTCAGTTGAAGAATGCGAGATGAGAATTCTTGGAATCTGTGGTGGATTTTTCAGTCAAGAGGCATCATATGAGAGCAACCGTGTCAGCAAATAGTGAGTGAATGAAGGAGTGAGTGGTCTAAAGCTGATTCCCAGCTTGTGGCTGAATTTCTGAATTTATTGTGCAACCTAGTCAATGCACAACGTGTCCTTTCCAGCAGATGAAAGCTTCCATGGAACAGTAATAATGATAAAATATAACTACTAGGTAGTTACTAACGGAGGGTGACTCCGATCTGATAAATGGAAGGCAAGACAAGAATCTAATCGGCTTAGCGCGCGCATCGGAGGCGGAATCTCGACGGCGCCGCCGCCCACTTGCCGTTCGCCTCTTAGCTTAGCTTCAAGTTCCCAACAGCAGTGGCAATGGCTAATGGGTAGCATCTTAAAGGCGACAGTGTGCTCTTATGATGTGTTACCAACAAGGTGTGTGTGTTTTTGGCCTGTCTTCCTGCACTGTCCTTGAGCTGACTGACTGACCTTCGATGTGAAACCAGCCGAGCCCGTCCCGGCGCAATCCTCGTACGTCACTACTCTCATGTTACTATGGCCGGAGGACTAAAGGCTAACGGGGTATTGTAGCCTATCTTTCACACAGGGATTCTTGCTCGGGCAGTTATCCGTGGTCTTACTGATCGGCGCCTTCATCAAATTCTTCATTTTCGGCGAAGCACCACCACCACCCTCGCGCGGGCTCTCGCACCGAACCTCCACCCACCGGCGGTCGAATTCGATCTACAACCTTGGCCCGAATGAGACCAACTCGACCAACTCGCGATCGCTCCGGGAGAAACCGTCGAATTCGAACGTCCTCCGCCCGGTCCCTTCCTCGTCGACCAACACGCAGTCGATCCTCCGCAAAACCTACTACAGTTCCATCCCCCCGAACCTCACCTCCAAGCATGGCCGGCACCGGATCCACCACTCCTCCCACCAGCCCGAGTCCCTGGACTGGTTCAACGTGCTGATCGCGCAGACGATCGCGCAGTACCGACAGACGGCATACCTGCTGAAGGACTCGCCGACGTCGTCGATCTTGAGCTCGCTCAACGCCGCCCTGAACAACCCGGAGAAGAAGCCCTCGTTCATCGACAAGATCGCGGTGACGGACATCTCCCTGGGGGAGGAGTTCCCGATCTTCAGCAACTGCCGCATCATCGCGGTCGATGACCCGAACTCCGACGGCGGCCGCCTGCAGGCGCTGATGGACGTCGACCTGAGCGACGACAACCTCTCCATCGCGGTCGAAACGTCGCTGTTGCTCAACTACCCCAAGCCCTGCTCCGCCATCCTGCCGGTGGCACTTTCGGTGTCGGTGGTTCGCTTCTCGGGCACTCTGTGCATCTCGCTGGTCCCCGCCTCCACGGAACCTCTCCATACTCCCACCCCGTCCCCGTCGCCGCCCACGGCCGATGGGACCAAGAACCCTTCCGGGGAAGGTGCTCCACCGCCTTCCGTCGCCGTTGAGGAGGAGGGAACCGATGCCTCGTCCCTTCCGAAGACGGGCACTCCGAAAAGCAACGTGGCCTTCTCCTTCCTCCCGGACTACCGTCTCGATCTGTCGGTCCGGTCGCTGATCGGCTCCCGGAGTCGTCTCCAGGATGTTCCCAAGGTCGCACAGCTGGTGGAGGCCCGGGTGCATGCGTGGTTCGAGGAGCGCGTGGTCGAGCCCCGGGTGCAGGTGGTGGGGCTGCCGGATCTGTGGCCGCGCATGGGCCGAACGGGGGTCCGGACGGGCGAGGAGGCCGAGACGGCGTCGAACGGCGCGTCCCGCGGAGGGGGCGGCGGCGGCGGCGCCATGTCGGATCACTTGAGTGCGCATGAGACGGAGGGACTGCGGTTCCGGGGTGGGCTGGGGTCCCGGCCGCAGTTCGACAGCGTGTCGCGGACTTCCAGCTACAACGTGGAGACGGGAGACCTGCGGCCGCCGAGTATGGTGCGGGAGGAGAGTTCGGGGGGGTTGAGTGATCTGCACATGCCAGGGTCATTGGGGGGGCAATAGTTTGGTGTATTTAGTATTTGACGATCGACTCGACCGCAGGATAAAGATGCTGTCTATCCTTTAGGGAACAATCGCATTTAGCGAGTGATGACTTATAAGATAACAAAGAAAAGAAAAAGAATCAACTTGGGTGTCATAATTTCATGTGCCTATTCTATATACATCCCACCCCATCATCCCATATCTCCTCCTGCTGCTGCTGCTGCTGCTCTCCACCCACCCATTACCCAAAATGCCAACCACCCATCTTACCCGGAATCAACCCCCTCAAACCGCAGCAACAGCCGCCTTCCCCAGGGACCCCAAATACCCAACCCGATGCGGATTCCCATCCAACTCCTCACTCCGATTCAACGGCGTCCACTTCGGTTCCTCCTGAAACAACCGCATCGCCTTGATATACTGTAATCACAAAAAAACCACGTTAGCCCAGCCCCAACCCTTTCCCCGCCCAAAAAAAAGCCTCCAAGGGAAAGAAATAGAACATACATCGCCCTCATCCACCGTAAACCGATGATAAATCCCAGCCGGCAGGATGATCAGATCATCCTTCTCGAGCTGGATGCGCACCCACTCGTCCTCCTGGCCGCGGACATCGAAGTACCCGCGGCCGTCGCGGATGTACCGGATCTCCTCGTCCTCGTGCAGGTGCTCGTGGAAGAAGCTCTTGACTTTGGCCTCGTACGCGTCGCCCATCGTCGTCGGCGACACCGTGATCTCGTCCCGGTTCTTGTAGCCCCGCGCGGCCGCCAGGGCGTCCACGTCCGCCAGCGACGGCAGGTGGTGGTAGATCACCCCCAGGGTGGCGAGGTAGGATTCGGTGACCGGGCGGGCGCTGTCGTGGGGGAGGCGTTGGTCGCCCTTTTTTCTTGGGTTAGTTTTGGTTTTTGGGGGGGTAGAGGGGTAGAGGGGAAGGGGGGCTGTTGGTTTGAGGACGGGAGGGGGTGGCACTGCTTACCGGCTTGTTGTCGTACCAGTAGGCTTTCATTTTGATGTTTTGGAAAGGGGGGGAGTCTGTAAAGAATCTGAAGTTGACGGTGACGTTGAATGAAAGATGAAGAGGGTTGGAGGTTAAGTCGATCAAGTACTCAACTAAGTTGCCGGCCGGCGGGGAAGGTCTGAGTTCAGAGTTCAGACCTCCGGTGGAAATGCGCCGGTGCTGCTGCTGCTGCTGAATCCCCGCCCCACTATTGGTCCGTGGGAAAATCTTGCGTCGGCTTCCAGATGTCGCCATTACATCAGCAGAGCACATCAGCTGGTTTCTACTCGCATACTACTTATGGGAGTTTATAGTAAGTTTTATGGTGTCTAATATGCATTCATACTTCAAACGACATATGCTCAGATGCAAGCCCCATTCAAAGTATGCTACCTATGTACATACATCAACTCACCACTATATATTCCCCCATTTACTTCTTCCCCGCAGCTCGAGCAATGCGCTTCTGGACCTCCTCTTTCGTCAAGATCTTGACGGCGTCCTTGGAAAACACGTAGCTGAGACCGGACCAGATCGTGGTTCCGGCAACGAGGTATCTGTCTTTGTCAGCATGTACCTTTCCAGTGAGAATAGCGACCAAGAATTTAAGAAGAAAAAAACCCCCCCCCCCCAAAAAAACATACAACAGAAGGGATTCGCTGGTGGTCACCCACCCAACTACTAACCTCCCGGCGTGTGGCTTGAGTACGGCTGAGCGGACGGGAAGCCCTATTTTCCACACCCTGTGGTCGTATGTGCTGGACACTCCCCAAGTACCGTTCTTATCCCGCACCACACAACAAAACACAACCAACAACAAAAACATAACGAGAAGAGTGGCACTCACTGAAATGCGGTCATGGCTTCCTTCAAATGCCACGCATCAATCACCGTCTCTGGAAGCACGGGCATCCCGATTGCACTACCCACGAGGAGAAGCTGCAACGCAGTGTTGACCTTGGAGACTGTCGTGGGTTTGACCTCGGCAGAGGGGAGAGAAAAATCCCAGTACCTGGCCATGGTCTTGGGCGGAGGAAGAGAGATCCATCGGTAGTAGATGGCCGAGAGCGCCAGGCCAACGTCACGGCCGAGGATAATGATGGCGAGCCAGACTGTCATAGAAACATGTCAGCTTTCCTGCCTCACGACTGGTTATAGTGGATCGTCAACCGCAAACGATGGCTTACCAGGAATAGATCCATTGACAGCCAAACAAGCGACACCGATCGTCATCAGTAGCTTGTCAGCCATGGGATCGATGATCGTCCCGACGACCGTTTGCAAGTTCCATCGGCGTGCAATCCAGCCATCCACAAGATCCGTGATGCCGGCGTATGCGAACAGACCCAATGCAGCCGTGTGGTGGCCTTGCACGAGGAAGTATCCTACCAAAGGAGCCGCAACTAAACGGGTGAGAGTGAGGATGTTGGGAACAGTGTAGATGTTCTCGTGGGTGGTGGGTCTAGGGATCTTAGACAGAATAGCCGCAGTTTTGGACTTGGGCTCAGTGCTGTGTTTATGTCAGGATTCGACGAGACACAGGTTATCGGTATCGCCCCCCACCCCCCAAATGGGAGATGATTCAAGCCAGGAGAGAAACCTACTTTTGGGTCTCTTTCGGGTCGGTCGACTTCTGCGCCGACCATCTTTTCTGCTGGACAGTGAACCGTGCCCACTGCGACGACTCCTTTGTACAGAGATTACTACTTCTCTTCATTCGTAAGCTAGACATGGGTTTAGAACTCGACTTCCGGCTGAAGTAGGAAACAAAATCGCACCTTGCCTGAGTCAACGGCGAGCGACAGCCTGGCGCGAGGGCCGAGAAGCTACGCGCTCCAGCTACTTGCAGCGTCTGCGATCCTTTCCTGGGCACGGAGCCATGTCCGAGAGACGGGAATGGGAGCACGCAAGGCAAGCGGGGGAGTTGCCTAGAGGCCCGTATAGATCCCTGCAAAGCCATGATGACTGTCATGGTGCGGTTACGGTATGATAGGACTTGGCGCAGAATGCACGAATGGTGAATGTATGCGATAAGTGCGGTAAGACAGAAATGCTAGCACGAAACGAGAGCAGTCATATCAGATGTCGGTTTCCAAGGAATTCTGGTCATATAACCGTGCCGTGAAGACGGAATGCAGTAGACCATGCAAAGCCCGTGGATAGAAGTGCTCAGGATCGCGAATGTTTTGGTAATGTTCCAATCCGTGTCAGAGAAGGTGATGTACTTGTATATTGACCTTCACAAGCGGCCAGATTATCCGACTCCCGGTAGACTCCCACGCACGTGAGGTCTCGGCTTAGACGGCGATAAGTGTGATCTGAGGACCAATTGCCATCCACGAAGCGGCAGCCCACCGACTTGGGATGGCCGAGTGGTACAAATGGGGTCGAGGCTCGAAATGAGCTGGTAGAGGGGATGGAGAGGAGTGTATACATGCTGATGGAGACCCGTGATGGGAGAAAATGGCGGCGGGACAAAGTTAGTCCGCGGTCATGTGATTGTATTAATGGTAGAAGGCATTCTGGCAATGGATGTCCAGGATTTCTATTTATCCTCGTCAGCAGATCAGGCTCTTGGTGTCAGACACAGTAACAGGCGAGTCAGTATCTCCTATGAAGTGCGGTTCTCACTTGCATACAGCACTTTGGAAGAACTCGATATCATCCATCGCAAAACAACATATACCAGAGCTGAGCTTGGATAAGACTATGAGGAACGTGGTCGTATTCTGTTGCATTGAGTCCTCCCAAATAACCCCAGTCTATAACCTGGGGATCAGATAGCTAATCATAATTCCACATGCTGGCCTACTAAGCAAAAGGTGAGTGAAAGTTGACAGTTCGCAGCGAACACATACATACATCCTCCGACGCAACCTAAACACTAAATGAGAGACATGACAGCCTACTTTGAACGACTGATGCTCGGAGCTATATCACCTCAAAGATAAATGTCTGGCAATGAAAAGTACACTGGGCCAGCCTGTACTGTCTCTTCCAACAAAGCATTGAATGCCCGTCATTACACTTTCCACTATTGGTAGCAAGGAGCCGAGAGTTTGCGATTTAGATTAAGAACCAACTCAAAGCAGGGATGATCACTCGCAGACGCAATGCCCGCTGTCAGTATAGGAAAAGTATATATGTTAGCATGAGCGGTTATCAGCGCATACACCCAGTGGGCTATTGAGTTGAATGGCCGCAGCCCATATCTCCTTATCCCTCTTGTAAAGACCGAGAAGAAGAATTGCGACCGGATATGCTGATCTTGAGGCTGTTATCATGAAGAGAGAGTTACCTCCTTAAGCTAAGTTCTTTGCGAGGCCAATATTGCAGCCACAGACTGCTATAATCGTGGCCAAGCGTCCTTGACTGGCGTATATAGAATTCAATCGATCGCGGAGTCTCTCGATATGGAAAAAAGCCCCCTAAAATAAGGAGGTCTACGTTGATAGACACCATACTGATTGTCAAGTCGGCAGAGAGTCACGACAAGAACAACATCGCATCTTCTCCGCAAGCCTTAGAGCTTACCTTTCGTACAACACACGCAAACATAGACCCCAAAGCTCATATCTCATGGCTCGTTTGTCTTCCGAGATCCCGTACAATCGGCTCCGTGCCTAGAGCTTGACGTGGCATCCAGGAAGGTCTCCTTCCAATCCAGACAGAACATGCTGACCATATCCGCGAGAAGAGAACAAGGGGCGTTCAATGTCCAGGCTCCTCAGAGGTCAGAGGCTAGCGCCGAGAAGGACACTTCATCCTACGAATGCCCTGGGCTCGGCTTCCGGCAGCCTTTCGGTCAGCCATGAAGACCGACGCAATGCTTCCAAAAGTACGGGTTGCGCACGACGAACCACACCAGGCAAACGGAGAGGGCAGCTCGGGAGAGCGCGACTATGGCCTCGCCACTCTGTTGTGCTCACCATAAGCTGAGCCCTATAACAGGCGGTCAAGATGTCTGAGACATGGACACGACACTGAATGGGAACGGGCTAATCCGAGATACCCGAATCATGAATCCCGTTTGTTCATTGACTGCCCCTACGGGCACAATGTCCACCGAATCCCGATGTGAGAGCATCCGTTTTTGATCCTCGTATGCGTGTTGCAGATATTCAAGCCGGCCTGACCTGTTTCTCCCACGATAGATCCCCGAGGCCTTGCTCCTAGTGACGTAACATATGCATTTTGAGCCGTCACGCATTGCTTAGAATGTAGAGCTCTCGGCCGTGTTGAGAATCCGTGCACGCGTGTATCTGCTCCACTTCCAACCCACTCGAAGAATTTGCACTGCGCACATGACATGAAGCCGTAGCACAGTGGTGGGAATATGTTCCGGTAGTTGGAGGACTAAAACCGGTTTTGCTTCGATTATATCGATCGATAGTCAGTATAACTCGTTAGCCCACGCAGCTCGCTTAGGTGCTACTGTGCTAATAGCCCAACGACTGCATGGTAGACATGCAGATATGCGATCGGGCTTGCGACCAACAACAACGGGGACTCCGATATAGTGCGGAGATCCCGTGCCCAGTAGGGAGGGGCGTAGGAGCTAGGCAGAAAGCCACGACGATCCGCAGCAATGCTTACAAAAAGCTCATCGTGCGTCGCGGTGCTGCAAGGGTAACGTCCATAGTACCATATATCCGAGTGCCCTCCCTGCCAGGCCCAATGCCCAACATGCCGCTGACTTGCCTGCCCGCTGGGTAAGTCAAAATGTTGACAGCCATGTGATTGACACAGCCATCAGGCACGCCCGAGCAGGACTGTCACACCTAGGTGGGCTGATCAGCCTCCCGGAAGTATCTCTCCGGGGGGGGGGGAGGGGCATGTGAACGGGTGTTCCGGGTTTACAGGAGGAGACATTGGACGTGGATCACTGGACTGGTCTAGATATCCGTTAGTCTTCAAACAACTCAACCGGTACAAGAACCACTTGCTCCCTGCCATCGGATCAGAGACCAGGGAGAACAAAGAAAGAGTACTCCGTAGATAGAGGAGAGAAGCCTTGCTTCGTCCTGCAGGCAGGCTGAGCCGATAATGTCAGTGCGCACGACAATCCATCGTCGTATGTACCTCCGTTGCAGATTGGGTATCCACACAGGGCGCAGGAAAGATCGGACTGTTGACGAAACGGGATAAACAGAAGTGACCTCATGAAATCTTGGGAGGATCGTCTTACGCAACGCAAAGACAGACGAACAAAGATCTGAAGGCGATCCTAGCACATACCGGCTGGAGATGAGGAGAGAGGGGGAAACCTGTCCAGATCAGATTGGCTTTGAGTTTTTTTTTTGCCCCTTGCATCTTTCTTTGTTCGAAGTGAGTGCGACAGCTGGGATCTCGGATCTGACAATATCCATCGGCGGACACATTGAACTAAACTCACCTCAGACAGGCAATGGGGTAGGAGACTTTGTGACTACCGTACGTTAAGTTAGTAGGTACCGATATGAGTAGCGGTGGGAATAGTACTTACTGTACTCCGTACGCTGTACTCCGTACGGATTGCGGTACTTTCAACCGAGGAGCTCCGGTTCAGGCCGATCGTGTCAAAGTGGGCTGACAAGCCGAGACTGGAGAGAATTCACCATGCCTACTCCGTACTCCGTAGAATGCGCTCCAACTGCTAATCCCTGGAGAAAACTCCTTTGTTGTTAGTCTATCTCCGAGAATGTGCTTCGATGATGAAGATGCTCGTTCACCGGAGGTTTCTGGTCTGCCTGTTGTTTCCCGGCGCCTTACGGAAAGCAGCCAGTTTACCGTGGAAGGGTTTCCCAGGCCACTCACTGACTTGCTGAAGCACGGCTCGCCGAGACCGGACAGACCACCCGATAAGGTTACAAAGACCCTGAACTACCATAGAAAAAGACGACTACTTACTGCCAAAGGGGTTGATGTTTTCGAATCGAGGTAGATTCGGTATATACAACAAGCACATGACTCGCCAGATCCCGTAACAAAATCCCCAACTCCACACTCACAAACCATTCACTTAGTCACTGATTGTAACTGAGTTAACGTTAGTTAGTCAATGAAGATTTGTGATCTCGCACAAAGTTAATTTGACACCTACTGCACAGGGACGAAGGTTTAAGAATGAGCCTCCTCCTATCCTGCAGCCAGCAAGCAAGTAGCGGGGCAACGCTGCATTGGCAGATTGAAAGAAGCTACCTAGTATCTACTATGTACAGTACGAGATCCTGGCAGTCAATGGAGGGGAAAAAGGAAAATCATGTTCGTCGTTTATCATTTCATAGTTCATACTAGCGAGAGCCCATGAATCCTCCCTGCCCTGGAACAAGCAGGTCATGTTTTGAGACTGCCTAAGTGCCCGTTTAAAGCTTAATTACCATGGCCGGCCCTTTCTTTATTTTTTTTTATTTCTGCCCTTTTTTCATTCTGTTTTTGTAAACATTAATTTCTTTCTTCACACTTCAGTGCTAACACTTTGTTCTCAGTGTCTTCTGTACAAATTGTTGATGATCAGCATACATCCCAGGCAGCATAAGATTAGGACCGCAATTGTGCCCTAGTATAATCGACCAATATCATCATCTTGAAAGAAAGGGGGTTCACAGCCTATATTGAAACGAGCTATAGATTCCCACCGTATTAAATGTCCATTGATCTACAATTAGCAGCTCGAACCAAACTAGTCCCGAGTCCCGGCCACCGATTCATGCGCGGGTCCCCGGTGGCTGTGGCTCAGGCTACTAACGCAACCCAGCCTTTCTCCCTTCAGAAACGCCGTGAGAGAAGTGTGTGTGTGTGTGTGTGTGTGTGTGTGTATAGAACTAAACGAGCGCTCCTATCAACATGCCACTCGAGTATCTTGGCTATGGCTAGCTCGGTCGAAAGACCCTTTTCTTCTCTGATGGCCCAGAAAGAGAGGAAGAGGAAGGAGGCTGGAACGCAACCTGAACGCCATTTCGAAAGGCTGGAAAGACACACTAATCCTTCTTT